TGGAGGTAGCAGATGCTCAGTTCCATAAATGTAAAGGCACAGAAAATGAAACAGAGGCATGCAAACTTGAAAACACAAAGTAAGAAAACTAATTTATTGGAAAATTCTGTAAAAAAAAAAAAAAAAGTATAATATTGTAAAATGAACTCGAACTGCAAAGGAAATCTCTGTAAATGCCAAAATCTGCAGTAAGTTTAAAAAAATCAAAAAGGTGCAAACCTGTTACACAAACCAATGTGCACCAGACCAGTAGGGGGCGTGAATCACAACGTCTTATGGGACAAGACTCTAATGGAAGGAAAGATTTTCTGCAAGCAGCCTACTTTTTCCTTTTTTTTTCTTTTTTTTTTTTTTCTTTTCAATCGTCATAGTTCATCATGATCTTTCTGCAGGAATTATTTTGTTTGTTGCTTATTTTAGTGTAATTTCGGTGTCTTTCTTTTGGTTTTTATGGGGGCTAGGTGTTTATGGTAGAATTTAACCTTTTAATTTTCAATACAATGTATGATTATATAGATGTGTTTGCTTATTTTGTTTGCTAAAAAATACTAATGTAAAATTACTTTACTTGTTTTTAAAATCTAACTTAAAAAAACACTAAAGAGAGTACTACAGCTAATCAAATAACCCTATTGTGGGTGATTTTCATTTTGGTTCAATTCACGTTTTGTTGAATTAACTACAGTATATCTACTCCAATGTAAAAAGTTTGCAGAAAATAAATGATTTGCCTTTTTCTTCTGCTGCTTCATCCTGTCTCTGACTATGTACCTTTGGACGAATCTTCCCATTTAAAAATAGTTTCTTCTTCATGGTTGCCCTATGCTTTACTGACACAAAGGACTGCATCAAACAAAGGTTCTGATAAAATCACCAGTTTTTCCTAAATCTTTTTTATAAATTAGATTCCATTATGAACTTAGATTAACTTCACTGTAGAATCACTGGATAAACTCTATTGTTTTTTCCTGAAATTGAATTAAACTTGATTCAGTTCAAATTAAATTGGGTTATTCTAGCTAACATTGAAGTGATAAATATTTCTCTGCTCTATATGGTAAATTACCTGTAACATAGATTGCACCTTTTAATGTGCCATTTTGCTTCTCATCCATTCACAGTTAGCTTAAACTGCCCTGAGGTGCACAGAACCGTTTGTTCACTGATTGGATAAGATCAATGCAGGGTGTCATCATAGTTCAGGGACGCATGCAATTCATGCTTTTGACTGTTAAATAGAAAAACTCATGTCTACATGTACATAAATACATGCTTTCTAGGGTTAATAACAAGAGACCGTCAGTCAGATGCTTTACATGAACTTCCTCTCACTGCCCACCAGAAAATCCTGCTGTGTACCCTTTGGCTTCTAGTGGAAAGTAGTAACGATAAAGCAAATGATACATACATAAAAAAAATGATCTTTCTTGCCAACTTCTCCATAACAAAATTTGTGTAACATGATGATGATACTTTTTTTTAATTTTATACAGACATCTCACCAGCAAAACGTAATAACAATAAATAGTTTCATATTTCTAAGTGTAAATATAATACTACCTACTACTTACTATCAAATTTACATTCTCAAGTGCATGTTAATGCACAACTTATTCGGTGACTGTGAGTCTGAAAAGGAGTATGATGAAGGTTAACATATATAATCATACCCCTTTTCCATTTATTAATTCATAGCATACATTGTCTCCTTGTTTCCAGTATCCTTTCCAAAAGGGGGAAAAAAAGAAAAACAAAACAATGATAATAATAACTATATTAATATTTCCTGAACCAGATGAAAATAATACCTACTTCCATAGATATATATACATATGTATCTACCTGCATATATACATAAATATTATATACCTATTTGCACGCCCACACATATTTACACACTCTTACACAAACCTGAACCCAATTTCCCAAGTCATTCCCAGTGCTGTAGTTCCCAGCCAAATTTATCACATCTTTTCATCCTTATACTTTTGAATACTAACCATTTTAAATCTTTTCTTAAAACACCTCACGCCTGGACTTTGCTTAAGCTCTTTAGTGAGTTTATTCCAGATTCACTCCAATGATAGAAATGCACAATCTTTTCATTGTTATTCTATAGTCATATCCCTCCACATGTTAACCTATAATAGTTTTGGTTATAAAACTTTATTTCATTTTTAACAAAGCTGTTTAAAAATACTATTTCTCCACACAGAAAAAAGCATGTGTACCAAATTTTTCATCATCATGCAAACAAAAATTATATTTATAAACTTCTGTTTGAGGCTCAGTTTTCGTTTAGTTCTCAAAAAAGCAAAAATTGGGCCAAGTTACAAATAGATAAGAAACAATATTCTAAGCTCCAAATACATATGATTAGTTTGTAAAAAAAGATCATCAATACAAACAGGTTTCCCCAGTACCATATCACACATGTATACTTACATAGCCAATTTAGTGATGGGTTATACATCTCGTAGCTGGAAGTTTTAATAGTTGGAAAGAGAAAACCATATATTTAAAACCTGCTGACAAAACATTTCAATACTTTATTATTCAAGGTTTGCAGCGTTGTGATTGATTATATGCCGGTATGGTTTGATTTCCCTGAAAGTGTACAGGAAAGCATTTACTGTTTATCTTATCACAAGCCACAGTTACATATTGATAACTTATGGTCAGCAACTTAACTTTACAATTGCTGATGGATACTCTTAAACCATAAAGCAAAAATGATGTGTTACTTGTGCATAAATTGCCTGTCTGCCACCAGCCAAAGCCATTGCAGTTCTGAAGAATATGGATTTCATCTCCTGTCTTCATAAAGGACTGAATAGGTAGGTTACAGAATCTCATTTGCTGCAAATATACAAAGAGGTTGTCTTTCAGATGACTCATGCTGATTTTTTCTGAGACAAGCATAAATAATGCAACATGAAAGCAAAACTATAAGAAGAAGAGAAAATACTATAGAATATAATCCAATCATTCCCTGATTTTCAGTTGGAGGGCTGACAGTTGTAAACTGAGGCACATATGGAGGAGGCTCTGTAGTGAAGGACAGGAGAAAAACATTTCAAATGTCCAAATAAAACAGGAACTGTTTATTTTTTACATTTATTACAGTATACCTACTTACCAGTAACATTAAGAGTAAATTTGCCCTTGCCGAGGCAACAGCCTATTTGCAGTTTACAGGCATATTCTCCAGAGTCTTCAGTCCTCAGTCTGGATACATGGATGCTGATTCGTCCTTCTCTGAAGACGTCTTTGTCTCTCTGGACTCGTCCTGAAAACTGTTCATCCTGAGATTCTGACACCTCAACACCATCATGGACCACATACTCATATAACAATGTCTGTTTCAGAATCAATAGACAATAAATGACTAAATATATGTTCTTTTGGGGGCAGACCGGTTTGGTCTCGAAGGTCAAATCAACTGTGATGTTGTTGTTCTTCTCTCCATGATAGATTGTGTCTGTTGCTTTCACTTCTATTGGTTCTAGAGGTAAATAAAAGTTACAGAGAATCAGGCCCTATAAAAAGGGGCAATTAAAACTCTTTTGTAATTACAGTATTTTCTTCGGTCTCTTTGGTAAGATTTTACTTACCAACCATCGGAGAAATAAGATCAGTTTCAGCAAATTTGTCCAGACTACAGTCTTCTATTCTGAGTTTAGAAATAGTTTCATTAGGACTTCTCTGAGGACGGTTTTGTCAAATGAATTCATCTTTCCATCATAATATAGTAAGACTCTATGATCTTTTGGCTGACAACAGTTTATGGTGAAAAAATAAAAAAAAAAACCTTGAGGAGCTGTATGGTGTGTTGGTCCCCTCCTGCTTGATTTTCTTGTCCCTCTCCCCATGACAGGATCCTGGTCCAGGAGAAAAGGACAAAGTGAGAAACTGAAAGCTGGAGCAGAAAATGTGGCATTGCACTTTCTGGGTGTTCCTGATGGGTTATTTTCCAGTGGCCACGATTAAATATAACAATTTTAATAGCAATAGGCTCTCGCAGCCTTCGCTGCTTGGGCCTAACTAAAATCATGATATGCAAACTAACCACGGTAGCAGAACAACATCATGAATGGCAGGATAATTTTCCCTGTGAGATAGGGAAGAAAATGTTTAGTTATTACAACAGGAAAGAATTGTCTATTGTCTAACTTAAACTTTAGCTATAGCAAAATATTATTTGGCAATCCTAAGTAAGATACGTCAGTTTTAGCAAAACAAAAAAACAAAAAAAAACTGCTTTTTGCTGGTTAATTTATTTAGTTAGTGCTTAGTTGATAACTAAAATATTCATTTAGCCTAGACTCCCTGACAATAAAGTCGGTTACAAGTCATTAAAACATTTTTCTTAAAGGTACTTTACTTTACTTTTAAAGGTACTTTATGCAACAGAAGTAATTTTTATGTGCAGGTTTTGCATTCCTAAAAAAATATAAATAGTACATGTACTTTTAATCTCATAGATAGATATAATAATTAGATACTATTAAGCAGTTCAACCAAACTCTCAAAAGATACTTACATTTAGAGGCAGGAAAAAAACATTTTAATATCCAAATCATCTGTACACTAACAGTTGTTAAAAAGCCTTCAAACTAAAAAAGAAAATGTTTTGAAAAGAAAGCAGAATTCTGTTTGAGCCTCAGGACGAAGTAGGTTCTGTTTTTACAGGATGTGGAAGTGATCATGTGGTATATGGTCATTTGATAAGGCAGATTTGGCTTTTAAGGATGAGAAACTTGAAATAGATTCGCTTTCGTGTTCTTCAAAAACCTAAATCCACTTGTCACGAGATATCATGTGAGATGACAGTGATTTACTGAAGCACTTATGATGTGTCATGATAATCTGGGAAATGTTTTTCACTGGTGTTGTTGTTGATGTAATCTGTTAGTGTTTGTTTAACATATAAAAGACAATAAAAAAACACCTAAACTTGAATCAAACAAATTGATGCTGAATTTCTGCGGAAGAGCTGTTACAGATAAAAAAAAAACTGTGAAAAAATGTATTGGAACAAAGCCCCAGCAGTTAAAAATGAATTAATTATTGCGAGCTAAAACTGTTAGAAATATTAACAATATTAACACTTTTAAACTTCTGTTTGAGTTTCAGAATATAAGAATCTATAAATAAATTGTTGGTATGATAATAAATATCAACCTTGTGAACAATTCGAATGGCTAATTTGTAATGTGCATAATGGTTGAAGGGAAGTTTTGTGAGTGTCGCCCCATATTTCCACACAGTAACTTAGATATGGGAAAAATAAGTACATAGTAAAGGATATGAAGGGCAGAGTAGTTTATCAATGTTCCAGCATTAGAGAGAACTGCAATACTTCTAGCTTTTTTTTTTTACATATTTAACATGAGGTTTCCAACACATCTTATTATGACTTAATACACCCAAAAACCGAATGTTATCAACTATTACATGTAAATCCCTATACCTTTTACAATTCCCAAATATTATAAACTGGATTTTATCTACATTTACTGATAATTTGTTAATATGAAACCAGTTTTTCAATTTACAGGACTCTTAATTTCTTTCTATCAAAAGCTTCCCATTGTCAGGTTTCCTGTGTGTGGGTTAGTGCAAGTTGTGCATCTCTACTATAGAGGATCTTTGTGGAGAACTTGGGTAGCCTACAAAGGGGAATTTAATCTTGATTATCATAGTGCTGGTATTAAAAGAGTACCAGAGCCTTCTTTCAGTGCTGGTTCCTTGTGTGTTGTAGATGTTTTTTGTTGCTTCCTAGTCTCATGCTTCCCTTGAGTATTTTTCCTGAAGTTTTTTGGTTTTGTTTGGTTTTCATTATTTTTGTATTTTGGTGTTTTGCCTCTGTTTCCCTTGGCATTACATTAGACCATCCAAACCCATCGGTGCCTACTTCTCTCTGCATTTGGGTCCTCAAAACCTCCACCAAAGCTGACACCCCCTGAAAAGATGTTTGTATCACCTTCAAATAACACAAAATTAAGTGTTTTGGAAACCTTACATATATAATTTATGTATAAGGTAAACAACGTTGGTCCTAATACTGAGCCTTGGGGAACACCACAAGCAATTATGACTGGAAATTACCCAATTGCACAAATTGTTGCCTGTTGCTGAGATAGAAAAGAATAGAATGAAGATTTTTTTTTTTTGCAAAACTAATCCTCTTAGACCATAGTGCTTGAGTTTCTTGATGAGTATTTCATGATCAATTGTATTAAATGCTTTATTTCAGTTATAAATAACCCAGCAGGTAACCTGGTAACCTCTTCTATTAAATGAATAACAGCCATCTCTGGGGATCTTTGTGACCTAAATCCATACTGACTCTCAGCGAGTAGTTGGGGTTTACTACAAGATCTATCCAATTTAGCAACAATTTTTTCCCCCCAAATTTTCGAGATTTGTGGAAGTGATGTCTATTCTTAGATTTTTTTTGTGGGATGACTTTTGCAATTTTCCTTTTTTGTTGAAATATACCTTTTTGAATTGACAAGTTACAAATATATATTAGCAGCTGAATAATTTCCATGATAACCTTCTTTTTTATTATTATTATTATTATTATTATTATTATTATTATTATTATTATTATTATGTCAATTACATTGCAGTCAGTTTACCTTTTATTTTTCCATTTATTTACTTTATCATTTTTGTCCTTCCTCTGCTGTGAAACATAACATGATGGACTTTGGTCACACAGAGAGAGGAAAGGACCAAAAATGGGAAATTAAACTGTGCGTATAAGTAGGCCTTCAGTTGATTTTAAAATTCATTGACTCACATTCAGGTTGCTCAGTGGCGCAGTGGGTAGCACTGCTGCCTTGCAGCAAGAGGGTTCTGGGTTTGATTCCCAGCCCGAGGTCTTTCTGCATGGAGTTAGTATGTTCTCCCTTACCATGTGTGGGTTCTCTCCGGGTACTCCACCTTCCTCCCGCAGTCCAAAAACATGATTGTTAGGTTAATTGGTTTCTCTAAATTATCCTTAGGTGTGAATGATTGTCCAGGGTGTACCCCGCCTCTTGCCTGTAGACAGCTGGAGATAGGCACCAGCACCCCTTGCGATAAGTGTGACCGAACATAGATGGATGTCTCACATTTTTTGGAAAGCCCTTTAAAAAGAATATTTGAAAAACTTGACTTGTTTTACAATTACTAATTAATTTAATTCTGCTGTAACTATTAGATAAACTCTAGTGATAGTGATAAAAGGTTCCTGAAAGCCTAGAAGTTTACCAGCAAATAGATGAATTACATTTTTGAACAAACAAGGTTTTATTCAGTGTCGTCAATCACCCCCTGGTGGTCAATGCCTGTATTTCAGTTTTGCTTACTGAAGATAGTTATTGAAAGTGTGTTTGCCTGCATCCAAAACCCATAGCATGTAAAAAAAAAAAAAAAAAAAAAAAAAAAAAAAAATGGGGTTT